ATATACTGACACATGGAGAGCAGGGAGTTACTTGTCAACACTGGTTCTCCACTTGTGAAGTAACTCCCTGCTCTCCATGTGTCAGTATATAATGCCTGCATCTGTAACTTTCACTTTATGCATCCGAAGAAGTGAGGTTTTTACTCACGAAAGCTTATGCCCAAATAAATCTGTTAGTCTTTAAGGTGTCACCAGACTCCTTGTTGTTTTTGTAGATACAGACTAACACGGCTACCCCCTGATACTTTGTTTGGTAACTTACTTTGTTCTGTCTGTTATTACTTGGAACCACTTAAATCCTACTATTTATACTTAATAAAATCACTTTTTGCTTATTAATTAACCCAGAGTAAGTAATTAATACATGGGGGAGCAAACAGCTGTGCATCTCTCTCTATCAGGGCGGACAATTTATGAGTTTACCCTGTATAAGCTTTATACAGAGTAAAATGGATTTATTTGGGGTTTGGATCCCATTGGAAGCTGGGTTTCTGGGTGCTAGAGACAGGAACACTTGCTAAGCCATTTTCAGTTAAGTCTGCAGCTTTGGGGGCGCAGATCAGACCCCGGGTCTGTGTTGCAGCAGATTAGCGTATCTGGCTCAACAAGACGGGGTTTTTAAATCCCAAGCTGGCAGGGAAAACGGGCTCAGAGGTAGTCTCAGCACATCAGGTGACAGTCCCAAGGGGATCTCTGTGACCCAATCCGTCACATGGGGAACGATAGCCAGGGCGGGACAGCTGCCAACCAGGGCTGCTTTGTCCAGAGGTGCAAATGGCTGGGAACAAGAATAAAGCAGGCTTGAAACACCTGCCTGTCATAGAGGAGGCTTTTCAGAAGGTGGCCCTGGACTTGGTGAGGGATGAATGGGAGGGGAAGGCCTCCCCTGATGGAGACTCAGTAGTGGAGTATTTACTGACCTTCCAGGAAAGGTTTGCTGAGCTCATAGGTCTGGCCAGGGAGATCCTAGCCAGGGCCCAAGGGAGGCAGAAGGTCTGGTACGACTGCTCAGCCTATGGCACCAGGGACCAGGTGAGGGTTCCCATCCTGGTGAGGAAGAATAAGCTGCAAGCTGCCTGGGACAGGCCCTTCAAGGTCATCAAGCAGCTGAATGAGGAGAACGATGTGGTGGAACTGCCCAACCAGGCTCACAACCACCAAGGGGATCAGGTCAACATGATGGAGCCATACTTTGACAGGGAGAGGCTGGTACTGGCCACATGTGGCCAGTGGGAGAAGGGAGAAGATCCCCTAGTGGATCTCTTCCCTGAGACAGGAGCCAGCCCCTTGCTGGAATCAATTCCCCTCTCTGCCCAGCAGGCTGAGATCAGAGGGGCGCTGCATGGACTATAAGGTGGATAGAAAGCTGGCTAGATTGTCAGGCTCAACGGGTAGTGATCAATGGCTCGATGTCTAGTTGGCAGCCGGTATCAAACAGAGTGCCCCAGGGGTCAGTCCTGGCTCCGGTTTTGTTCCATATCTTTATTAATGATCTAGATGATGGAATAGATTGCACCCTCAACAAGTTTGCACATGACACTAAGCTGGGGGGAGAGATAGATATGCTGGAGGGTAGGTGTGACATTTCACTCCATATGCTTTATAGAAATATGCTTATGAATATGACATAACTGGACTATGCTTTATGCTAAATACCCCTTGTATGGTGTCACTAGAAAGCTTGTAATCTACTAAGTGTGTTCATCCTATTTGTTTGCATGTATTATTTCTATATCTGGAGTTAGGAGAATAAGATATAAACTTGTTTTACTGATGTAAACATATTAAGTGGAGGCCATTAAGGGTGCTCCAGAAAAAAATCAGTTGTAAATAGCCTTAGTTACTTGAAAGCCTTCCTGTGTAGGTGTGGGCCAGTGATGGGGAATGGAGACTAGGGGTCTTACAGTGACTTGTGACTATGTCACCTGATAATGAAATCCATCTTAAATCTCGTACTTTTCCATTTAGAAGGAGGGGTGGGGACCCAGAGAGACAAAAGATTCCTGCCTTGTGCCAAAGTTATAAAAGGGGGTGAAGCAGGACAAAAGAGGCTGCCAGACATGAGGAAAACCCCTTCTTACCACCTGAGATGTCTGCTGGAACTAACAAGGACTGTACCAGGGGAAAGGATTGGGCCCAGACTAGGAAGGAGTCTAGTCTGTGAAAGAAGTTTATTGGAACATCTCTGAGGGTGAGATAATGCCTGTAATTAGTTTATTAATGTATTAGGCTTAGACTTGCATGTGTTTGCTTTATTTTTGCTTGGTGACTTATTTTGTTATGTCTGTTATTACTTGAAACCACTTAAATCCTACATTTTATACTTAATAAAATCACTTTTGTTTATTAATGAACCCAGAGTAAGTGATTAATATCTGGGGGAGCAAACAGCTGTGCATATCTCTCTATCACTGATATACAGGGTGAACAATTTATGAATTTACCCTGTATAAGCTTTATACAGAGTAAAACGGATTTATTTGGAGTTTGGATCCCATTGGGAGCTGGGTGTCTGGGTTCTGGAGACAGGTAACCTGATGAGCTGTTTTTAGTTAAAGTCTGCAGCTTTGGTGGCGTGGCCCAGACCCTGGGTCTGTGTTGCAGCAGGCTAGCATGTCTGGCTCAACAAGACAGGGTTCTGGAAGTTCCAAGCTGGCAGGGAAAATGGGCTCAGAGCTAATTTCAGCACATCAGGAGACAGTCCCGAAGGGGGTCTCTGTGACTGAACCCATCACAGGTAGGGATAGGGTCCAGAGTGACCTAGACAAATTGGAGAATTGGGACAAAATTAATTTGATGAGGTTCAACAAGGACAAGTGCAGAGTCCTTCACTTAGGATGGAAGAATCCCATGAACCACTACAGGCTGGGGACCGACTGGCTAACCAGCAGTTCTGCAGAAAAGGATCTGGGGATTACAGTGCCTGAGAGCTAGATATGAGTCAACAGTATGCCCTTGTTACCAAGAAGGCTAACGGCATATTGGGCTGCATTAGTAGGAGCATTGCCAGTGTTGTACTTAAAGTACTGCACAGGATCTTTTCAGGGGGAATAAGACAAAACGCC